CAAAATCGAGTAAAAATAAAAACAAATTGTTTATAAAAATAATTTATTATTTATTTTCTAGTATGCATGGTTAGAAAAAAATCATGTTAATGAAGTTGGTTCACAATATAAGACATTGGGCAAACAAGTTGATCATAAACCATCAACATGGAGATGTGAAGATCAAGCAGAAGCTGGAAAGTAAGATAAATTTTATTAATTTATTATATAAAAATTTTCTTTTCTTAAGAGAATTTTTACGTATAAATGATGAATGTGCTGATAAAATCTATGATATTCGTGAACGAAGTGATATATCTCGTGAATCTCTTCTTAATTCGGATGGAGTTGCATCACGATTTTATCAAATGGAAGCTGATGCTGTTAGTTATTTTTTTATTTATTCTTTCTTTTTTGTTTTTTAATTAATTCTTTTTATTTTAGTTAAAAAATCGATATGAATTAAATAATATGAAACGTAAATTAGATGGTATCAAACAACTACGTGCACGTTTATTTAAATAAATACACTTTCATTTCTTTTTTCTTCTTTTTTTAACAACAAAATAATTTTAGTTTATTAATTATTTTTATTTTGTATCTATGAATCACTGGTGACTTACAAAAACAACAATAACAGAACACATTAATGATCGGAGATCAATGAAATATTATTTGTTCTTCTTTTTTCTTTTTTTCTTTCTTTTTCGTTTATATTCACCTTCTTTTTGATCTTACCCTCTACATGTATGCGTGGTTAACAATCATAATCAAACAAAGAAATGTTATCAACATTTGATTGTTTGTATATGTTACACCGTTTTCTCTTTTATGTCATGATTTTGAATGGAAGATAATATCACATCTAAATCTTTACCATGCACATACTCAAATAAATATTATAGATCAACCCTTTGATAAATAGTATGGTTATGTTTAATGAATTAGTATTACAAAAAATTATTATAGCTATTAGAGTTTTGGGAAAAAAGTACGATCGGATATTTATTATTTGTTTTCGTTGAGAAAAATAACTGAACTATTTTTGGATGTTATTATGATCAGAGTATGGAAAAATAAATGATTTGATATTTTTATCATTCGCAAAAGTCAAGATGACAGTGTTAATTGTCTTGTTTGACAAAGAACTGTACTTAATTAATATTTTCGAAAAGGCTTTTCTCATAGTAACGGTAAGGGCAAAAGTTCTGCATTGATTTTGTTTTTTCTGATATAGCGTTGCAATGTAATATTGTAGAGACTTGATGTTTTCTTTTGTTTTTGGTAGAAAGATGCAGATGTTGAGTTGAATGCAAACATATATAAAAAAGAACTTGATTGGAAATATTTTCTGAAGTTAAAAAAAACCTTAGAACAAAAAATACTGTAGCACTTCCGCAACTTTGATCACAAGTTTTTATTCAAACGTATGTATAGATATATATACAACTGTTCATTGCAATAAAGGCATTTGTATCATATTTAAATAGTTGGCCTAGTGTATAAGAGACGGAGCAACAAATAATTTCAAAAAAAATTCAATTTGGCGTTTACAACGCGGAAACAATGATTTGTCTGAATATTTCACAAAGAAGTTGCAGTAGTGTAGAAGCCGTTAACTCGTTTCGACTATTCAACTTTCAACTATTCTTAGGGCTTTCGCGCTTGTTGATGTCCCGTGGTACTCACACCCGGTACTGTAGATGTGGACGTGCTTTCCTAGCATTTTCGGCAAAAATTTTTTTATGAAAAAATAATTTAAGAATATTTTTTTTACAATGAAAGTTTTTGGTGAAAAAATCAAACTCAAAATTTTGAAAAACCGACTTCAGATTCGGATTCCTTGACCTCGAATAGTTGAATATTTGAAACAACTCTTCGAGTTTTACATGTATGCTTAGACTTGTATACAACTATATCCTAGTGATAGAGCTAGAAGCTCGATTTAGTGTCTAAATAATTCCATAAATCGTTGTACTCTTTATACGTCTTTTACTGATCACTTTATACCTAATCTCTATACACTACTATATTGATCATTGAAAACTTAAACTATTGATTCTTAACCTAAAAATCTAAATACCTTCGTAAGAGGACTTGAATCACTGCTTTGTGTTCAAAATTATTCTATGATTCCTTATACCTCTTATATGTTTTGAGGACAAGTGGGTAGGTATGATAGATGAATAGAGAACTCATACCCATGCTTATGCATGCAATGGCGACGATAACCAGTCTAATCGAAGACTGTTCTACGGGTTACCGATAAAACATTCATCGGTGGAACAATTACCAGTTTGAATCAGTGAAACGGTGATGGTGAAGCGATGACTCACCGTCCTCGTTAAATGTCTACACATACTCATCCATCTATAACTCAACATCCACCCACTAACGTTCACAATAGCCTCCTGTAGTAACAATTCTTCTCGATTTCTGTTTCCGTATCTATGCTATCACATTGTCGTCCTCCCAAAACTTGTAGAAATTCTTTATCTCGTTTCTTTTTTACGTTCTCGCGGAACTATCACTGCCACATACCAACTTTTCCAGACAAAGGATGTGCACTCTTGGTTCTAACATCTACACACTAATAATTTCACATACCTATTCGTGGCATTATGTTTTGTCCAATGTGATATGACTTTGGGTTAAAGATAAAGTTTCAATTGGAAGTGTAGTTGGCCAACGACATAAAAGAAAAGCTGTTACAAAAAACGCATCTTAATGTGTACGAAACAATCACAAAATTTTCAGAATCGCCTATATTTAATGCTGTTTTGTTCTTGTGGTCACATTCTCGAAACATCCACTATAATCACCATTCCAGTTTTCCATCGAAGACGGGTCTAGAGAAGATATTCACGCACCATTCTATTGTTTAGTTGTATTTTTCTTTTCTATTTATCGATACTAATGTCCATTCCAAAAAAAACGGATGAGTGAGTATTTTTTGAATAACTTTTTGAAGAAAATGACATAGAGAGCTGCGGTTTTCACCATTGGAAAGAGGAGATGAAGATGCATCGAACCATATATGAAAAGATTTTTCTAACTATTTTCCTAAGAGTTTTAGTCAGACTTTCTCAAAGAATTGCTTTTTTCTCATGTGTTAAAACAAGGGATTTTTCATCAAAATATAAGAAAAACGTATATCTTTCGATTATTTTCTTGGAAGAATGTCGTGATAACTTGCACTTCAATAGCTAGGATATCTTATTGGTAGCAGCTAGGAATAAAATCTTTATGCAGTTTTTTAGTTCTTAGATTGGCAGTTCTAGTTCACCTCCGAAAATAAATAAGTCAATATCGCGATCGTACAAGGCATGTTGGTTTTCTAGGAGCTTTCTACCAACGACAAAAATAAAGCTACACTTATTTTTCATGGATATTTTCAATAATAGTAAACCATAAAAGACAAAAGTTCATCAAAAAATTATTTCATTTATAGAACTTTGTAAAGCTAGTAAAGCTGATTATTTTGGTAAAAAAGAAACTTTAGATATCCTCAAAAAATGATGGTAATACGTTCAAAATCTTCTGGCTATTCCTAACTTGAAAAATAGATGTCGCATTAATTTTGTCGCTGGTAGTTTACATAAGACTCTTAGCAAAGTAATCAGAAAAATTTTTTTGTATATAGTTCGATGCGTCTTCATCGCCTCTTTCCAACTGTGAAAATCGCGGCTCTCTATGTCATTCCCTTCAAAATTTATTCAAGAAAAAAAAAATACTCACCTGCCTTTCTTTTTTGAAATGAGCATTAGCTAAAAATCTGTTAATGAAGTTCAAAAGGTCTTACTCAAGTACAAACTTGAAAGTGTCCTAAATGTTGATCAATCAAATTTCCACTATGAATTCGCATCAAATTGTACATTCTCTTTTGCTAATGAAAGGTCGACGTTCATCACTGTCAACTCACTCCATACCACCACACATCCATATATCATAATATCTCACTTACAACTTTCAATATTAAAACTATGCATATCTATTTTTTTTTCATAAACTTTCGTTAACTAGAATAAAAATGAGTTCGATTAATATAAATCAGTCTATTTCTTCTTCATTCTATACTGTCTTTTTGTTGTGTATATTGTTTTAAAAATAAGTCGAGAAGACATTAAGTATCAACATAGACAAGATTCAAGTATATTCAAAGTTCTTCATCAATTTACATATTAATAAAAAGTTCATATTCGGTACAATCTTCCGAAAATTCAAAACATATTTTAATAAACATCATCAATTCAATTATAATAAGTGTTTTCTTCCATTCCAATAACAATGTCAAGTAATTCGTTATTATTTCTAATCGAACATGACATTGATTTTTACAATGAAAATCTGTTAAATATCGATGTAATAAAAATCATCATTATTTTCCTTTCATCAGAAACAAAAATTCTAACATTCTTGAAAAAAATTGACTTTAAATTCAAAAAAACCAATCGAAATTCTTTAAACAAAAAAAACCACCACTCTCATAGTGATGATTCATCTTCCATCAAATAATTTTTTCTTCTTTCAAAAAATAAACCAATAATTTAATCTTTTTCAAATAATACTATTTTTCATTATAAATAAATAAATAATTTCATTTCAATTATTGTTAAGATAAATGATGTCGCTAATATCGTATCAAAAAAAATTAGCACAAAGACCTCTACGCATAATGAATGTCAATAGAAATCATGATGGCTGTTGATCCTCAACATTTCCAATGTAAAATATGGATAATGAAGTTGGATCAGCTGGAATTTCTTTTGTCAAAAGATCGTCAATTACGATTATTGTTTATTCTCTTTAGATTCTCTTGTCAAATCTAATAAAACGTTGCCATTTTATTTTCTTGTTCATATTTCCAATTGAATAATACCAAAACTAAAAAAAAAAAACAAGATCAACATTTATTATTAATTTTATTTTATTTTTTTTGTGCATTTTAATTGATTCAAATTCAAAGTTGATTTAAAAAAAAAAGGTACTTCAATATATATTCTTTTGTTTCCTGGAATAAAATGGCAGCCGGTACACATATGGCTGCAACACAACAAGCAGCTGATGATCAAGCATCGTCACTTTATTTTTCTGGTATATGCCAAACAATATCAGTTAAATGTCAACATAGAAATGAAAATGGTTTATTAACATGTTCAAGAAATCTTTATGTTTCTTGTAAGATTTTCTATTCATTTAACTTGAATATGTTTTTTTTTTCTGCTTTAATCTCAGGTCCACATTGTCATTTATTACTTTGTATTGATCATATACATGAACATGAAAATTTATTACGATATGAAATTGAACAATTAATTAATGGTAAATAGAACGTTCAGTTTTTTCTTTTCTTTTCTTAGTTTAATTTTTTTGTTTTTTTAATGATATAAATAGAAACGAATATAGTCAAAGCAAATATTCGTGCATTATTAACAACATCTCAACAACAACCAACATCAACGACAGCACAAGTACTAGATGAAAAACAACGTACACTATGTGAATTACTTGAACGATGGGCTACAGTTGGAAAAATTTCTATGTCACAAGCAGCACTTATACAACATCAATGTGGTTATATTAGTCAAACAACACAACAACAAGCTGCAGCAGCATCAACAGCTGCAGCTGCTGCTGCTGCACTTGCTGCTGGTGCAACAAATCATCATATTGCACATCATAATTTACCTGCGCAACAAAATGGTAGTGGTACAACTAATCCAAATAAACTTCCATCACATCATCAACCACATCATACAAGTAGTGGACATGGTAATCATCATCAAACAAATTCACATCATCAAGATCGATCATCACAGCAGCTAGCAGTTAATGTAGTTAAAAAACGACGAAGTGGTAAAAATAAAATTGTGACTTTATTAATGAAAAATGCTGAAGGAGAATACGAATGTGTAAGTATAAAACAGAAAAAAGAATTTAGATTAAAGATTTGTTTTAATTTCTAAAATATTACTCATTGAAGATTTACAGAAAAAAAAATTTCGATCGAAAGGATATTCAATTGAAATCTTTGCTGAGTAATTTTTAAAAAAAAAAGCAAAACTTTATTCTCTTTGTTCTTAAAGGATAGAAGACTTTTTCAATAAAAACTTATCTGAAAATTGCTTTGATTTATTTCATTAGTAAAAACAAATATTTGAATTTTGATGAGAAACGAACAAATAGATAATCATCATCAACAATTGTCTTTTTTCAAAAATCAGCCTTTCTCTTCTTCGAAATATTTACTATGATCTATTCATTTAAAATTAAATTCAAAAAACAATAAATCAACATTATATATTCATGCAATAGTATATGTTCTATGATAATCTCATAAAAAATTGAACTCAGCATAAATTGAATTGTATAGATTAAGTTTATCCGAATTCTAGTTAGTTTAGGTCACATCATATATAATACTATGTGCTTAAAAGAATCGTTATATGATAGAATTAATTTACAAACTCGTTCTATTTTATATAATTCTACATGAACTTATTTAATAATAAACTAAAAATTGATTAAAATGTTTTGAATACAATACATTATTTTCTTTAGCCAAATGTTCAATGTCGAAAATCACTCAAATGTCAAGGAATAACGGCGCATGTGAAAGCTTGTGCTGTCGATTGGCTTAAAGAAAATGGGCAGTATCTTAATTTAAATTAATCATTATCGTAAACATACAACGAAAAGAGAGAAAAAAAAAGAAGAGAGACAAACCAAATAATGCTTTTGCTTTTCTTTTTTTTTTTTTTTGTTTTTTTTTTTTTTTTACATAGTTCGCATATACTTCTCCACATGTAATTGATGATCACTGTAGTTTGTCTCTGTAAATAAGTTTTTCTTTTTCTGTACGTTTATGTGAGTATATTGTTTAACTTGTATACATTGACTCTATCTTTTGTCTAGTTTATTCTTATTATAAACTTCAACACTGATATGTATTTCGAAAATAAGACAAGAAAAAAAAAAACTCGAAGATTATCATTTCATATTTGTCTCTCTTTTCTTCTTTTTTTTGTTTTCGTTTATTTGTTTGTGTGTGTATTTGTGTGCTCTTGTTACCCCTGTTCTCTCTCTCAACTAACAGATATATGTATAAGGCCGAAATGAGAGAAAATGTCTTCTTCTTTTCTTTTTTTGTGTGTGTTTCTGTTGTAACAAAGTTTTCTTTTCGTATTTCTTTCGAATGCAACAGACAAAAAGCAAAAACAAAAAATTTTTTTTTGGTTCATTTTTTTCTAGATTTTTCTCTTTTGTTTTTTTTTTTATTTATAAATTAAAATGGCAGAAGCAACAAGTGCAATATTCGATGTTCGTGATGATCAATCAAAAAATATTATGCTCATAATTTGGTCAAAAACTGGTGCAATTTTTCAAGATACATTTCCAGCTGAGAATACAACTTTTGCATATGTTAAATATTTAGCTATACAATTTTTATTAAAAAATAATAATAGTAATTTATCGAAATATGATTGTTCAATGCGTAGCATACAATTGAATGAAATGGATAATTATAAATTAATATCGATTGAAACAAAAAAAATTATTGATGAACAGAAAACTTTAAGTCAAGAAGATGTTAAAGATGGAGGTTGGATTATTCGTCAAGAAATATTAATTTATTCTTCATGAATGTTTGTTTTTTTTTCTAGATGAGTATCTTCTAGCAGCAAAAGTATCTCAACAACCATCGAAAGCTGAACAAGTATAACGACAAAACTCCATTCTTCAAAATCTATATATATATTTGACTATATAGACATTCGAACCTTCTTCTATAAATCAAAATTTAATCGAATTTCGAACACAAGATCTTCCACTACCTACATATTCACTTTCTCGATCTCAACATCTAGCAGGGAGAACAGAAGTAATATTCAATTCTTAATTATGTCTCTCTCCTACTTTCAAAGAAAAAAATGAATTCCATAATATTTAGTTTCGTACTGATCTTAGTCGTGTATTACTTACACTGATTGAAACATCACACAAATTACTTTGGTATTGTGCAGATGCTGAAAATATCTTTCAGGAAGCTGAAGGTATATTGTTTTCTTAATTTTAAATTTGTTTGTTTTTTCTCATTTATTGTATTTTGTAGAAATTCTTTCAAAATCACCGAGAACAGATTCAAATCATACAGAAAAACATCAAAATCAGATAGAAAAACTAGTTAATATGGGATTTACTGAACAGCAAGCACAACAAGCTCTTGAACGAACAAAGTTAGAAGAATAATTACAAGAATAAATTATTTTTATAGAATTTTAATATTTTTGTTTTTTGTTAAGATATGATTTAAATGCTGCTATGAAATTACTTTTAACCGAAAAAGATACCGATGATAATGAAAAAGGAAGAAAAAACTTGCATAAAACAAAATTTTTCTATTCACGTAACGGTCCATTTATACCATTTCGAGAATTTCGAAAAAAATGTTTTCAACCAAATTCATTAGTAAAAAAAAAACAATTATGATTAATTGAAAAAATTTTCTTTTATTTTTAAATAGGCCATTCAATCATTAGAAGATATGGGTTTTAATCATGATGATATAATACATGCTTTACGAATATGTTATAATAATGGAAATTTAGCTGTATGAAAAAAAAGAATTTCTTTTTCATTAATATTTATCTGTAAATTTTTGTTTTTTCTTTTAGTGTGAATATCTTATTACTGATAAAGAACAACAAAATATACTCGATGCTATTAATGAACAAGGTCTTGATCCAAATTCAAATATGTTTCAAGCTATTATGGAAAATTCAGTTATTCAACGAGCAATTAATAATCCAAAGATATTTTTAGGTAGATTTTTTTATTTTTAATAATTAATATTATTGAAATTGAAAATTTTCCATTTAGTTATGCTTCAATTATATGAAAATCCAAGTACAATAACAACTTATTTAAATGATCCAGAAGTTGGAAATATGTTATTACAAATAAGTCGTATTTATAATGCTGAAAGATATCCGATCTATGTATTAAGTAGTACTTGACGAAATAATATCTATCAAGAAAGAAGTTCATCTTGAATTACTACAAATGCAAGTTAACATAAAGAGAGAGAATAATATTGATTAAAAGAATGTATTTTTTCATTTTGTTGTTGTTTTTTTTTTTTTTAATTTTATTTATCTTCTTGTTTATTATTATAAATAATATATCTCATCATATAATAAAAAAAAAAACCTGAAGATTATTAACGAAAAATTTCATTGACTTGTGCAAGAACAGTATTCCTGACATATGGTGAAAGAACAGTAAAAAACAAGGCAATACTCTTTGCTTGCCGCCTTTCTCTTTCGGCTATCATTGTCATATAACATGTGAGTCATTGAATGTTATGCTTGGATTTCTATTCTTTTCTCTCAATCGTTAACAAAAAATATAAAATATAAAAGGCACGTTTATTCCCTATAACTTTTTCTCAGTCTTTACTTGATAGTAATATCATCATCTATGTCACCATTAAATGGTAAGACATTTGTACTTGAGCTTGGTCGAGATATTCGTTTCAAAACTAAACAAGAACTTATTAATTATTTACATAAACAAAATGCTCATATTTCATATATTTTAACAGCCAGTGTATGTTTTAATTAATTTCATATTTAAATATAATTAAATATAATTTTCTCTAGACTGATTATGTTTTGGTTTCTAATGATATTGATACATATAAAACTCGTCGAGCTAAACAGTTCGGTATACCATTAGTAAATGTTGAATATATTTATGAATATCGTAAATTACCCAATGAAAATAATTCTATTGATATTAAACGATTTATTGTAACGTCAGCAGAAGATAAAGAAAATTTTTCAAAAAGTGGTACTATATCTATTACGGGTTAATAAATTGATTTCATTGAAATATAAAAAATTATTCTATCTTTTGTTTTCTCATAGATGGAGGAAATCCTTCCGGTAGTATAATAAAACCTGTTAAATTAGATTTGTCAAAAATTAAAATTTGGAATTCTGATGATGTTAAACTACCACGATTTGATGAATTAACACATGCTGAAATTAGTAAATGGGCAATTTTTAAAGTAAATATTTGTTGAAAAATAAATTTATTGTTGATTTATTTTCTCGTAAAATAGGAAACAAATGAAAATTCTGATGTTTATTTTGTTCTTGAAGTTCAAATTATTCCTGAAGAATATAATAATCAAACAAATAATGATTATCGATTAAGATTTCGTTATGAAAAACAAACAATAACAAATTTAAAAGGTAAAATATCTTTAATTCAATATGCATTTAGTCATGATATTAATGAATTACATCAATTATATGCTTTATATTATAATCGTATTGTAACAATGCCACGAATAACACGAATTCGTGATTTATTACCGGATAAATTAGGTTCGAAATTATTATTACGTGTAAGATAAATATAAAAATGCTTGTTTTTTTCCCTCTTGAAAAAAATTCAATTAATTTTTAGTCATTATTTCTTCATCGAATTGATACACAAATGCTTGATGATAATGTTTGTCAATTAGTTGAATCACTTTGGATTGAATCAATTGGTGATTTAAATAAAATACTTTCTATACAACCAGAAACAATTGCTCTTAAAACAGTAGGAGAAAAACATTAAAAAAAAAATTTTATTATTTGTTTCTTATTATTGTTAGATTATTGAAGCAGAAGCTGCTTTACTTGAAATCAAATCTGATAGTAAATCGCCATTAGAAGCAGAAATTCGTTTCTATTCGCTTATTCCTCATCAACAATCATTTGTTATCGATCTTATTAATAATCGTCGTGCATTAATTGATAAATTAGATTTATGTCAGGTAGAAATTTTATTTTAAATTTTTTCTAGTTTTTTTCGTTTTTCAAAGTTTAGATGCTACGCGATATGGTTACTATAAATGAATTAACAAATTGGAATATAAAAGCATCAATTGAAGCAAAATATCGGGCATTAAAATGTCATATAGAAACTGTAAAGAGTGATACACATGAATACGCTACAATTAGTAAAATGATTTCTTCATCAACGAATTCGTTCGTATTTTTTTTTTTTTTTTGTCTTGTTTGTAATTATCAAAATTTTTATATTTTTTGTAGAAATGAACAAGTAATTATTCATCAAATATATAGTGTAGCTAAACAAACAGATGCATTGAATTTTCGTTCAACATTTTTTAATCAAAAACAACTTTTTCATGGATCAAAATATAATAATTTTCTTGGTATTTTATCACGGTAAATTAAACAAAAAACGGAAAAAAACATTGTTTTCTTAGTTTTATATTCAAATTCTTTGTGTTTTCTTTTTAGCGGTCTTCTTATGCCAAAAATGGTTGTTAATGATTTAGGAGTTACACGTACTGATATTGGATGTTTAGGATATGGACTTTATTTTTCTGATTCAGTTTCAACATCATTAAAATATACAAAACCAAGTATAACACGTCCTGATCGACGATTATTATGTATATCTCAAGTAGCATTAGGAGATTCGGCAAAATTCTATTCATATGCACCAAATTTAATTCAACCACCTGAACATTTTCATAGTACACATGGAGTAAAAAGAAATGATGAAAATAATTCAAAGTTTAGCGTAAGAAATAAATAATTATTTTCAATCAGATTTTTATTATGATGTTTATTTAGGATGATGAATATGTTATTTATAATCTTGATCAACAACGATTACTCTATCTTGTTGAACTTTCATGGATACCATATGATAATATGGATCAATCACTAAAATTATTACCTATTATTCGTGATTATTTAACAAATCAGTCAAAATTATTGTCAGATGAAGGTAATCAGTTTTTTTCCAAACAAATCATAGATAATTCATAATACACATCAGCATTCAGATTTCGTCTTGATTTCGCATTAGTTCTCTTCAATAGATTTTAATTGTAATATATTGATCATTGGTTGGACGTTTGTCATCCTCGTAGCAACAGCTTTCGAGATTTATTTTTGTAGGAAATTTTGGGGATTTTTTTTAATAAATTTCGTTATTTATGTTATCATCAAACGAAATAAACTAGATTGAAGGCAGATGCCTAGCCGATAGCGAGGACGAGAATGGCACATAAAGCTGGGGATCAGCTGAGGGTGAACGGAACGTTGACTCTTCAGAACTATGGCTTTCTTTTGATACAGTGAAAATGTATTATATACTATCAATAGGAAAAGTTCAGATAAATTCCATAGTTTAAGTAAGTCCAACGAAAATAAATCTCGGTAATCATTCAATTCCTCTCTAAACAGTTGGAATGAATAATGAGGCGAGATTCATGAATGATTCGGCTCAATTGAAGATCTCAAACGTTTGCTTACGTCTTCAGATAGATCTAAGTGAATAGTGCTTGGGGAAAAAAAGTTTCAGAGAATTTCAACATACTGATCTGAAGAAAGTCTATTTCAAAGACCTATAGAGTAGGCTCAGGGCATATCATCGTGTAAATAGCCTTTCTTTAGATCAGTGGGATGGAATTCGCTCACATATTCTCCCCTAAAAACTATACACTGAAATTTATAGATGGGTCATGGTTAAGTACAATGTTACAAGAGCAATTTCTAGTCGATATCTCTGTAATTCATTAACCATTTGTATATTTATGTTTGATCAATCTCTAGCAATATAGAAAAACGAAGATATTGTTATACTTCAGAATCATGGAAAGAATTCCACTAATCTCTGAAAGAAAAATAAAAATATGCTCAATGATAATCATATAATTATTTGCTTGTTGGATATTTTCTGTTCAAGATTTATTCCATAGGTTTTATTTTCCGTACATTAAGGAACGAACTTAATAATCAAATACATATTGATAAGGAATCAAACTGCAAAAATTTTAAAAGAATAAGACATTATTAGAAAAACGATTTAAACTAATGAGATAACATTTCTAAATGTTATATTATTTTTGAGTCGGGACTAGGTGCATCATGTAGGTTCTAATGAACTATGATTACCATGACAAGAGTTCAAGCTAATAGGTTATTACTGTCAAGATACTATATTTTTACCGTATTTTTTAGTAGAATGCCATGATATTCCTTAGAAACATTAGGAAAACTGAATTCCGAATTTCAACTTGAAACTTTGCATAAACAGAGATCTTAATGAGAATAACTTATTGTGAAAATTTCAGATTTTTCGATTACGCCTATTTTGAAATAAGAACATTGGAATTTGTTATTGTATATGAATGGCGTGAAAAACATGCTTTCATCATAGTTGTATCTTAGAATAGAAGTAATCAAAAGATCTGAAACTTTTACAATAACCTATTTCCATTAAGGCCTGTCTCTATGTAAAGTTTCAAGGTGAAATTCCAAACTTAGTTTTTCTGCTATTCCTAATGAAGACTACGGCCTTCTGCTAGAAAAATACAGTATCTTGACAGTAATGAGCTATAAGCTCGAACTGTTTGCAGAGTATTCTTAGCTCATTAGAACCTACGTGATGTACATAGCCTCGATTCATAAACGATTTGACACTTAGAAACGTTTCTTCGTTAGTATTCCAGCTGATAAAGCAGTAATTATACATGTATATATTTTGTTTCAGTGGATATTCCTTCAACAATCGAAGATGAAGTAATTCAAGTAGCAGAACAAGATTATGGTTTAATTTGTCCATCGTCAGGTGAAGTTGTTCCACTTAAAGCTTTTCATATTCGTGCTCAACTTATTGATGTTACTGCTGAAGTAAATTAAATAATTTTCTTTTCCGAAGAAAAAAAAGCATTTTTTATAAATTATTTTAGATTGTTCTTTATCAAGTTTATCATAATTCAAGTTCAATACCAATTGAAGCAAAATATATATTTCCTCTTGATGAAAATTCTTCTGTTTGTGGTTTTGAAGCTCATATTAATAATAAAATAATTAAAGGTGTTGTTAAAGAAAAAGAACAAGCTAAACGTGAATATCGTGAAGCTATTGAAAAAGGTCATGGTGCATATTTAATGCATCAAGAACAACCTGAAGTATTTAGTGTATCTGTTGGTAATTTACCAGCTAATTGTGAAGTGATTATAAAAATTACATATGTTGTTGAATTATCTATTGAAAATAATGATATTATATTTCGTTTACCAGCTAAAGTAGCTTCATGGCAATCAAAACAAGCTTTAGAAATCAAAGATCAAACAATACTTCCATCAATTAATCTTGAACAAGATAATTCTTCAATGAAATCAATTGAATTTAGTCTTAAAGCATCAATACGTATGCCATATGAAATAACAAAATTATTTTCACCAACACATCGACTTCGTCGAAAAATAACTGATTGTCTTGCTATGATTGAACTTGTTGATAATATTTTACTTGAAAAAGATTTTATTCTTTCCATAACATTAAAAAGTGTTAATTTACCACGCATGTTAAATGAAACATTTGTTTTATCCGATACAAATACTAATAATCAATTGATTGATGAAAATTCTCAAGCATGTATGTTAACATTTTATCCAAAATTTGAAATGATCAATAATTCAAATGAATACGTAGAAATTATTTTTATTATTGATGTATCAAATTCTATGGATGGAAAACATGTACAACAAGCAAAACAATTAGCACATTTATTTTTGACAAATATGAAAACTGATGATAAAAATATATTTTTTAATATTGTTACATTTGGATCAGGTAAATCAAGAACAATATTTTTATTTTTATTAATTTTTTTCTCATTAATTTATTTATTTTAGATAATGATGAATGTTTTCCTATTTCATCACAAAATACAAAAGAAAATATTGATAAAGCTAAGCATTTTATTTTGGTTGGTATCGTTTTATTTTAATCATGTCCATTGGTTTTTGTTTTTTTTATATATTTAAATCTATATCTATTATAGCATTCACTTGATCATCGTGGTAATACTGATCTATTTTCTGTACTTCGTCAATATTCTCTTTTACCATCTTCATCTAAACTCGGTCGACAATTTATTCTTCTCTCTGATGGACATATCAATGATCTTCAATCTATTTTAATATTATTAGAAAGTCGATCATCAATGCGTTATGATCGTTTATTTACATGTTCAATTGGTGAAATATCTAATAAACATAATTTAAGACAATTATCTAATGGAATAAATGGTGGTGGTTTAATAACTGTATTTGATTCAAATTATCGTTCAAGATGGAAAACAAAAGTACTTCAAATACTTGAACATATTCATCAACCATGTGTAACAAATATATCCATTGATTGGCATGGAACAATTGATGATCAACAAGAAAAATTTACTAGTCAAGCACCAAAAATAATTCGTTCATTGTTTAACGGTATGCGTTTAACTGTATATCGTTTTATACAAAATTGTCATAAAGCAACATTAACAGCAACAATAAATAATCAAGAATATATAACAACTGTATTTAGTAATAAAATAACTGAAACAAGAGGACGTATATATTACATTGTTTAACAGCTCGTGCTATTATTCAAGATTATGAAAACGGTTTATTACATAATGATGAATGTGAAAATGAACTTATTAAAAAACAATATAAACAAAATTTAATTGAACTTAGTATGAAATATTCTGTTGTGAGTTCATTTACAAGTTTTGTAGCTATTGAAGAACGTGATGGACAAGCACTTGAAACAGGTGTTCGATTACTTGATGTTATGCTTGAAAATAATATTGATTTACTTCCATATATTGGTTGGGATGGTGATCGATCACAAATTGATATAATTAAAGATAAATTAATTAATGGAAAACGTTTATTTGATAGTGCTTCAATAGCAAATAAAATTGATTTATTAAATGAATATGAAAATCTTTGTCAGAATATATCATATCGTTTTGGTGGTGATGCAAAATATGATTTAATGTTAACAATTATTAATACATATCGAACAACATTTAAACAAAAAGAAAAAGCTCGAGAATTAGAAGAAAATATGCAGAAAGGTAAATATGAAATTTTTCTTAAAATTCTTAGTTAATATTGAATGTATATTAATAGATTTAATGAATGAAATCAAAAATGCGACAACTGATGAAATAAAAATATTAGAAAAACGACTAGATGAAATTGATATACGTCTTGGAACTGAAATGTTGTAAGTTGAAAATGGAGAGATATTTATGTTTTGTACGATTATATTTTTATTAGAAAAGATTTAGAACATCGAAATGCAACTGTTGAAGAAAGGGAAGAAGAAGAAGAAGAAGAAGAAGAAGAAGAAGAGGAAAACTATTCACTCGTTGAGGATGATGATGGAATATATTACAGTGACGAAGATGGTGGTGATCTATTTGTAAGTGAATTCTATAGCATAAATGAAACATTGTTTGGATTAATTCTAGATGAAGGGTAACAATAAGCTTTCATTTGACTTCGGTTTAGATGAAGTAAAAGATGATTCCTTACGTTTGATGTCGTCCCAGGCAGGTAAATTTACTTTGTTCAAAACATTATTTTAATCATTTTCATGTTCTCTATGTTTTCTAAGTGAATTACGATCTACTAGAATGTAGTGAAATTAAATCAGTGCAAAACGAAGAATGTGAAGAAAGTCAGGCAGGCATGAGTTTTGGTTTATTTGATGATTATGAAGTTCCAATGGAGGTGCACACAAAATTCGAGAACCTAATAATGAATGTTACTTCTGAAAAAACAGAAGGTCATATATGCTCATTTGATGAAGCACTAGAAGAAGAAGCGAACTCTTATGAAATTGATGCTGATCCTTCTCTTTTCCAACAGATGGAACCCATAGCATATGACAAAGTGGAAACTCTAAAAGCAAAAAAATCAATTCAAGAAGTGAAGGAATATTCAAAAAAGCAGATAGCATCTCCAGTTTTATCAAAATTCGCTCTGAAAAAGGCACAAATTCACGAAAAGTCGAGTGCTATTCATGCGAATGTTCTTGGTGGTGAAATTTCACCTAGAGCAGGTAAAAATTTTCAATAAAGTTTTTTTTGTATCCAAATAGAGTCTCAATAGTTCTTACATATGGAAGGAATTGAGAATTTGGCGGACAACTTTCTGACTACAGTTCAACATTTTCGTAAACATGAAGATAGTAGAAGAATGAAATTACCCAATTCTAGCTCCTTCTACATCGAGACCTATGTTCAGATAAAATATTTATCGATAACTTTCGATATTGATCATCTTCTGAAGATGCTTTGAGAACATCCTTAAAATGTCAACGATTTGTTAGGAATTATGATCAATCTTTTCTTTTCAGAAATGTCTAGCAAGTCACGGGAGAAAAGTTCAATACAACAATACACTTCTTCTGATCATGGACTACAAGAACAGCAACAGCAACAGCAACAGCAACAGCAACAGCAACAGCAACAGCAACAGCAACAACAACAACAACAAATGACATCATTAGATTCATCTGTTTTCACACATACGAGTTGCTTATCAAATGAGAAAATGGTCGCACCACAAATGGCTCAAATAAGTGACTCAAGTACGACTTTTAGTACAACATCACTGTTTTCGTTCCCAGGCAGTACCATCAACACTAGTAACACCTATCCTGTGTTCTCAGAATTTAATGCACCAGTAGGGTATCAAGCTTCTAATGATGCTACCATTACCACACCTGCAACATTACCACTTCCTTCTTTTGGTGTACCATTTGCTTCCAATCCATTCGGAACTACTACCGTTAGCGGCAACGTCAGCAACAACGCTTCTTTCGGCTCCACAGGATTTGGGGCTTCAACAATATCTTCTCCTTTTGGGTTTCAACCATCAGTTTTTTCTCCTGCATCATATGGATTTACATTTGGAAGTAACGTTAGCTACAACACCAATAACAACATCAATGCTCCTTCCATGCTCGGAGGATATGGCGGTTCAGCAATGTTTTCTGGTGCACCTTCACGACTACCACCACCACTGCCTCCTCCCGTTCCTCCACCTAGTTCAGCATTGTTTGGAAGCAGTAGTAGTAACTATAATACCAATACTTCTTTTATGACTCCAAACTTTATCGTACAACAATCGGCAATGTGTCCTTGGTCGCCACCTCCTCATCCAACAACAGAAGCATTACCGTTGAGCACCACATCCTCGGAGTCACGATCATTGTTTTCATTCGGTGGATCTGGCGAAAATACTGTTTGTAATGCTGCACCTTCAATGATTAGCAATCAATCGATATTTAACATTCCTTCGACTTCATCTGTTCTATCAGCACCGTTATCATTCGGTTATGTTAGTGAAACACCTAAACCATCTAGCATCGAATCAACTGCTGCATCTTCATCTCGTTCTATCTTACTACATTTAACGGCAATGTTATCAGATGTTGACAAAATCCAAACAGAATCAGATAAACCAAATTCAACAGTTCAGCAAAAGGAATCTATTTATCGTGACAGAGCTGTTGAACAATCAAGTAAACTACACACTACTAGTCGTATCTGCGCTCCTCAAATGCGTCGAAAAGTAGAATTGGATAAATTTTCCGAATTTGTAAACCAATTCAAGTCAGCTTCAGAAGCTAAACCTGTTGTTCATAAATCTGCTGTGTCATGCATGCGGTATACTGATGTATGTATAGATAGAATTACGCTTAGATCATTTGCATAAATTATTGCTTATTGTAGACACGATCTGATGAACAAACGGAACCAACGGTGACTTCGACTTTCAAAGAATCGTATTCTAATTCACCTACCCAGATAGACTTGCTGTCCAAAAACAAGTATGACTTTGAAATAATAGTCATTCATTGTAGTGAATAATATATAAAGAAAATGGCGCTTTTTCCATAGGCTATACCCCTCCTCCCGCAAGGTTTCTTTTCATTTCAATATCTTTTGGTTGTGGGTAGTGTGAAGATGTAAAATCATCTAACCAGACCTTGGACATTTTTAGTCTTCGCAAAAAAAACAATATTTTAGAGAACGGTCATTTATATAGGAAAGTACTAGAAAATAGTGAGTATTTAGAGGTTTCGGTAGTTGAAAGTTGGTTTTTATGTAAAATGAGTATGATATTCAGAATCAGCATGAAAAATTAAACTAGTGTCTATTTTTTATTGTAAAATATTTTCCATGAAAATCTGACCCCTACTCCCCCTCAACCTTTTATCCATGAGATTTTTCCCCGTGGTCCCCTATGGGTCAAATTTTCATGAAAAATATTTTACAATGAAAAATAGACTGTCTAGTATAATTTTTCATGCTGATTCTGAATACCATACTCATTTTACATAAAAATCAACTTTCGACTACAGAAACTTCTAAATATTCCCTATTTTCTAGTACTTTCCTATATAAATGACCGTCCTCTAAAATATTGATTGTCTTTGCTAAGACTAAAAATGTCCAAGGTCTGATTGGATGATTTTACATCTTCATACTATCTGCAACCAAAAAATATTTGTGCGAAAAAAAAATCTGCGAGGGGTATAAGTGCTACTTCCTTTGACTGTATTCTAGGTTGGAAAAGAAATGCAAGTCATCTTCGAAAAATGATGTAAAAGATACAGCATTATTATTACTTGATGTTACACCACTCAGTTTGGGTATTGAAGATATTAATGGTCATATGTGTATAATTATTCGTCGTAATACAACAATACCATTTCGAACACAATTTGATTCTTGTTTTACAAATGCTTATGCTTATCAAACAACAGCTACAATTCGCATTTTCAGTGGTGAACATAAACTTACAAAATATAATGTTAGTTTAAAATATGTTCAATCAAAAATTATTATATTAATTCATTTTGTTGCCTTTTTTTTTTAGATATTTCTTGGTGAATTTATACTTACTGATTTAATACCAAATTTTGCTTCACAAACATTAGAAATATCAATTTGTATGGATATTGATTGTAATGGTTTGTTACAAGTTGAAGCTGAAGAAATACGATCAGGTGCTAAAACTAAATTTCGAATTAATTCACAAAATTGTAAGAATATTGCTTAATTAAAATGAAAATTTTCTTAGTTAGTTTCTATTTATTATATAGATCCATGTGACAAAAATGATATTGAACGACATCTTTCATATGTAGAAAGTAACCAAGATTTTCATGCCGTATGGGTTGGTGATCGACAACCAAATGATTCATTATATATGGTTTGTAAAATTATAAAGAAAGGAATCATGAGATAACCGAGTTATACGAGGCACTCAATAAAAAAAAAATTTTTTTTTGTGCATTCAGTTCATCGATGTCTGAAAACATCAACTCCAATATTTTAGTTTCCAATAGATTTTCTTTGAAAAATTAATCAATATCGACTTTTTATCACTATCATGTCCTTATGAAAAAAATATTTCCTATAAATATCGTACTCGTTTCAACAAATCATTCGAATTTTTTATAAATTATACTAAAAGATAGAGAATTAAAAACTGAACGAAATGACCTATTTCAATATAATATAATATCAACTGAGCCAAGTTTTATAAGGTTAGTATGAATGCAAAATGTTTCCATAGATGAGAGTCTAAAATGTCTACTTTATAACAATCTATCTCTTGTGGGGATTTTGAATCAAAAAGTTTCAAGCTGAATATTATATATTTGATACAACTTTTTATTCTCTACAAAACTGTAAATAAATATTCAAAAATAAATGATACATTTAGGGCGAAACCGAGTTCACATACATGATACTTTGAAATGAATAGTAGTAGACCTCTCATACCAAGAGATCGATACAGTTTGTGTAAGTGCAAGACATAGAAAGTATATACCGTATATTGAAGTGAATTTTGTTGCTTGTGTTTGAGAGTTAATGAAGAGATTGCTGTTGAATTGAATTGAATTAAATTGTCGAATAACTCAATTCAGTTTTGGTTGCTGATTACGATAGGAGATGGATTGTTATCAAATGAACGTTTTATACCTATCGAAAGAGCCATTTTTCATTGATGCCAACCTTATCAAACTTAACTTGGTTAATATAATATTATATTGAGATAGGTAATTTTGTTCAAGGCATTTTTTTAATAAGAATATGATAGTGGTAAAAAGTAGATATTGACTAACTTTCCAAAGAAAGACTATAGAAAGTTAATATATGGAGTTGGTGGTTTCAGATATCGACGTATTGAATGCTTAAAAAGAAAACATTTTTTTTTGTATTGAATGCCTCGTATACTCGATAGTCTCATGATTCTTCTTTTAAAAAAGAAAATCTTTTCAATTTTTATTTTTAGCTTAAAGGTGAAACTACAAATGAAAAAATTAATTTTACTTGTGAATCAGAAATTTTTAAAGGTTTTTCAACATTTAATAAATCGAAACAAATTGATTTAACTTCGATGATGATAAATGAATTCAAAAGAATTCAATTAACGAATGGATCATTTGATTTAAATCAAGATTTAGCTAATTTATTATCTCTTGATATGAAAGATTTTGTTGAACTTAAAATATATTTAAATAAACAAGGTTTTAATTCTTTTGGTAAGATGAAATTATCTTTTATTTTTTTAAACGAAAAATAAAAAACTTAACCTATCGAATTATTTTGTTTTTAGCATTAAATATACAAAATGATATAATTCATTTGATTGCTACGGGTATTATTCTTCTTGAATTATTATTACAAGTACCCAAATCGGAAAGAAATATATTTTTAGTTCCATTTGACAGTGAACAAATTCGAGTAAGAGATTGTAACATTTTAGTTCTTTTTTTTTTGTTAAATTTTTTGTTAACTTTTAGTCAATTCTTCATCATCATTTACCGAAACCTTTATTAGAGAATATTGATAAAGCAATTGATTATTACGAGCAAAAACGTTTATGTTATGGAATTTATTGTGAACAATTAGAATTGAATTATTCATCATGGGAAAAATTTATTCAATATGCACTTTTTCATATTAATAATTAACTTGAAATTTTTATATTATGTTTTTTAATCATGAAATAAATAAAACAAGAGACTTGTTTGTTTTTTTTTCAAAATTAAATAATTAATAAAAATATTTTCAAATTAACAACGAATATCATATTTCTTTTTCTCTTATATTCATTAATAACCTTATTAAAGAGAATAGAACTATGCAGTTATCATTCGTTATAAGATTGATTTACCTTGATCAAAGGCTAAAAAGTAAGTCGATATATGAATGGAAATAAATTATGATATGATAATAGTTATTACTATTATGAAGCAGATGTGCTTCACGCTTTGATGTATTTCGTTTACGAAGAAAAAAAATTCGGATGTCTATGTTTCTCTTTCATTCAATGAATGATACAGATTCCTCGGCGCATAACCGCGAGACTCCGACGATAAGAAATCGTACATTGTTTTCATTCTATTTAGTGATAAATGATATTATGTATGTAAAGCTTTCGAGGCTCATCCAACCATATATCACCACCACAACATGTGTACATTTTCTCCTTCTATTTTAACAAAGAAAAAAAAAATGCCTCTATACAATACGATTGGTATTTCATTTTCTTTCTCTCTCTCCCTCTCTCTTATTCTCTCATAGAAGATATCACTATATATATAAAACAAGACGTGTCTATATTCTTTCATTCACTCATTACCTCGTCTTTTCATATTTGCACGCATAACTTTTTTTTTGTTGATTCAGTAAGTTCATAGTGAACTTTATGTTTATAGTGATATATTTACATTCAAATGTGATTTTTTAGAATACCGATTAAACTAATATGACAGCTACTAGCGGTATTGAAAAACTTAAAGGTACATGGGAATACGTCGATGGTGAACATTTCGATGATTATATGAAAGAAATTGTAAGAAGATTTTCTTACTTTTGAATATTTATATATGAAATGTTGATTTATTTTGTAAAAGGGTGTCGGTTTTGCTCTTCGTCAATCAGCTAAATTGATTAAACCAAAATTAATTATTAAAGAAAGTGATGGTAAATGGTCATTGAAAAGTGAATCAACGCTTAAAACGGCACAATATGAATTTACACCTGGTGTTGAATTCGATGAAACTCGTCTTGATGGTGAAAATGTTAAGGTTAGTCGCATGTCTTATCTAGAAAATGTAAACATTATCTTTTTTTTTTATTTATTTCAATAGTCCGTTATCAAATTTGAAAATGATAAATGGGTTCATACAATGCGTGATAAGAATGGTAAAGAATCGACAATTGTACGTTATGTTGATGGACAAGGACAACAACAAATTGTATGTTTATTTCTTTATTTCTTCGAAAATAAAATCTATTTTAATTTCTTATCTGTTTTTAGGAGATGAAAGCTGGTGATGTCACAGCTCGTCGTTGGTACAAACGTGGCGAGTAGATATTTTAAATCATTACAATCACACCCGATTAAAAGAACTAAAACAAAATCGTCATCTGTTACGTTTCTTTTTTGTCTTATTTCATTTCTTTCTCATATAGCCATTTTTATATAACTACTAATAAAATAAAGTAGCAACAGATGTCTTCTTTTTTTTTTCTATACTCTCTTTTTTTTCTTGGTCATTTTTTTAATATGTATGTTCGTGGCTTTTGATTTTCGATAGTAAGCACGATAAGCAACGAAGTAAAAAGAAAAAACAAAGCATGTATCAGAATTTTTTAATATTGTTTTCAACATATCAATACATATATAGAATGTTGTAGGCATGTGATGATTAGAAATATTAGCAGAGACTCGAAAATTAGAAGAGAACGTGATGTTATTTTGAAGTATTCATATTAAAATGAAAGATAATAACATTGTTGGTGTATAATAAATTCAATTAAATAATTTATCGGAAAGAAAATTATACGTTCTATTCATATGAAAATTGCCCTTGGAAACAATTAGTACAGTTCGAGTATAAATTTTTATTCTCTTTAAATGAAAACAATATGTAAGTATAATTAAGATATTGTTCTATAGTGGAATCTTTTGTTTGTATTTGCAAATAATAAACATTTAATGAATGGAAATGTACTTAAATTGTTTTTTTTTTGACGATAAGTTTTACACATTTTAAATGACAGAGTTATATATAATTAGAGAAGCTTATGTTGATACTCAAAGGTTCTCACATATTATGCACAATTTGTATAATAGTGATTAAGGTAAAACTTATAATATTTGCTGAATTTTCCTTTGATATTTATGAGCAATTGTATATATGTAGTCATAAAATCCTGTATGTTTCAAAATGAACTCATTTTTACTGGCGTGAGCATCAGCAGAAATAGCATTATTAACAAAAATGAAAACATTTAATCGGCAATTAACTTTATGCTAATTATGGAGAAGTTAATGAGCTATCGATTGGTAAACAAGGATTGTTTTACTTGATTACTGTCTTTGAAAAATATGACTTACGAAATCAATAAATTTAGGAAAGGTAAACTTTTTCTTTTTGTATTGTTGTTTACCTGCAGCCATAAATGTATCTCCCAAACTTGTTATGTTATATATATCGACACGAAAGTTTATTAGTGAATCAAATACGTTTCAAAAGTTTTCCAATAACTGAGGAGCTATTGAGATTTGTTTTTTTTTTTGTTTTGGATTTATTTAAACCAGCGGATTTATCTATTGTTGTATATAGGTCATTTTAACTGTCCTAAAAGAAAGCCATAGTTCTGCAGAACCAGTCTTCACTCTCAACTGATCTTCTGAATACCCCTACTTTGGTCGAAAGTAAAAATATCAAAAACTTGAGGTGGAAATTTTTGAATATTATTTTTCCGCGTAAATTAAAAAACCAAGCACATAACTTTGAACCAAATGTTTACTATTAAAAAAGAAATAGTAAAAGACAAGTAAAAAGATTTTTATATCTTATTTTATCAACGTTAAGTAATGCTCCTATTGAACCATCACAATTTTTTTGCCACAACTAAGGACAAACCATTCAGAAGATTAGATACTATTAGGAGCCAATCATTATATCGATTTACAATGTACTTATTCGATTTGTAATGCTGTCGACCATTTATTTTTCTGTTTCGATGCATCAGAAGGGTGTAGATGTAGGTGTCGCGCTACTCTTCATGCATACTCCACTCAAATACACTAAGAAATTATCAAATCATCAGAAATTACACTCTACTTTCAAATAAATGGAGTTTCAGAGTGAATGTATGCTATAGTAGGAGTATCGTCACAATTTTTTTAGTGAACTATAGTCTACTAATTTACTAGCTGTTCCTTAGCTTATAAAAACAGACTTTCATACTAAACTTTTGCCAATAGAATTTTACATTCCACAGATTTTTAGTAAAATTGAAATAGTTGTTCATGTGCTTATCATTTCGATAGCATGTTTTTCAATTAAAAAAGCTTTAAATCTGTATATATGTTGGACAAACAAATAAAGATACATTTTCCAATAATGTTTTAAGAATTATATTCTATTATGACTTAATATGTATGTGAGCCGATTGCTGAGCCTTGAGAACAGTTCAGCTAGTTGTCAATAAACATCTTGTATGATGTATTGAAACTTGACAATAGCGATTATGTTTTATATTCTCAGGACTCTATTTAACAGTGAATAAAGAAAGACATCTTTTATAAACTAGTAGATCGATTTGATCGGAATGTAAGTGCATGAGAATTCATCGATACGTCTCAGTCCGTGCTTATTGCTGCGATAGCAAATACGAAATTCGTTAATGACTGCTTGATAAGTATCACCGATCGAGATAGGATGTGAAAAATTACGGATGATTTCGAGCAAAGCATGCAGCTACATGAAACGGGCTTCTTGTTTTTTAGGAGTAGAAAGATCGAAAGGAAAAATATTGAGACAGAAAAATGTCGAAACCGAAAAATATCGAAACAGTGGTGTTTCTAGTGTACGATGACTTTGAGCACATGAAGTTTTTCTTTTTTCGTGACTTCTGTATGATCTCTGTTAGAATGTTAGTATTTTGCTATACAATACAGAATTTCTTGCAAGTCGGAGTTTTCTAAAGTACTTTTCGATCAATTTCCACTGCGACATTTTTCCCTTCGATTTTTCTATGATCAACTGATGGATTGAGAAGATTTTTCGTTGCTGAGCAGGCTGAATACCAAATGCATTGAAATAAGGTGCTGGCAATGCAAATTTCAAGTAAAATTTTTTTTTCACTTTTTTTAAACATTATTTGATAGAGAGTGAACTGTTGATCACGAAAAACTTGAAGTATGTCGTTTTTTTCGACAAACACATGCTTTTCAATATGTGGAAAATTTTCCTTTCCATCCTTCTTTCCAGCTTTCAAACATACATTTTTTAGATTCATCACCAAAATCTGAATACAGATAAGCTGTTACATTGGCTCTAATCTCGACAATCTTTTGATGATGACGCTTCGAATCGCGACAGATGCAATATATATAGGTCGATTTTATAAATCTGTTTAGTTTTTTGTGTAAGTGATCAAACCAAATATTTTATCTCATTTAATTCCTTGTATCATCAGTCATAAGAATATGAGTCACTTTTTTTTCTTTTTCCTTTCTTGTTGAGAAAAATCACTTTTTCTGCATTTTGGGCTAAATAGATAGAATTCTGTCTGTGTTTCTTCATTTTTTTCATAAAAACTAAGCTTTCATACAATAATGTTATCATATTCGGAATCAGAGAAAAAAAACTAAATTAACTTATATATAATTTAACCTTTTTCGTTGACTTCAGCTTTTTGCCAGTTTTCAGATGAAAATGTCCCTGAAATTTTCATCAAAAAATGAAAAGTAATGAAAATTTTCGAAACATACATTAGTGAAACCAGTTTTTTACGTTGACTCCGAATATTTCAATCATATTATAGGAGATTTTAGTTTTGATCAAGAAAATGGAAAAATACAGGCAGAATTCTAGTTTTTTTCTCCAAAATTCAGAAAAAATGGTTTTTCTCAACAAAGAAAGAAAAAGAAAAAAAAAGCGATTCATACTTTTATGACTGATGATACAAGAAATTAAATGAGATAAAATATTTGGTTTGATCACTTACACAAAAAACTAGATAGATTTATAAAATCGACCTATAATATTGCACTCGTCACAATTCGAAACGTCATCATCAAAATATTGTCGAGATTGGAATCGATGTAACAACTTATCTATATTCAAATTTTGATGCTGAATCTGAATAATGAATGTTTAAAAGCTGGAAAGAAGGATGGAAAGGAAAATTTTCCACATATTGAAAAGCATGTGTTTGTCGGAAAAAAAACGACATGCTTCAAATTTTTCATGATCAGCAATTCACTTTCTATCACATAATGTTAAAAAAAGCGAAAAAGTTTTTACTTGAAATTTGCATTGCCGACACCTTACGTTTCCAGAAAAGAAATACTAAAAAAGTTAAAAGTTGCACAAGCAACTAATCTTATTACGAACTTTGTTCATGCAAATTTGTAAGTCGAAAGTCGATTTTCCAGATAAGCTGAGAGAGACCATAGGTTTTTGTTGGAAAATCCAGTAAAATTTCGGTATTGCAAGAACAAAAACCCAGAAAACCAAACCATTCTAGACTTTTCTATTACTTACTAGTACTCATCTAATGAACATCGTCTCGATCGAAAAGCGATTTGACACCTGGAAAAGTTTCCTCATAAGCTTTCTTCACTTTTAAGTTCTAACCCCTTCTCATTTGTGCGTGACCAATGACTGATCATGCCAATCTAATCAATGGAAATTTTTATATCATCGCGCAATCTTCAACAACTCAATAATTTCTATTAGTTGGATGTCATAAAAACATGTTTTAGAATTAAAAAAATCGTTATAACAAATCATATGGACCAATGCATTAATAAACTTTATTCAATCAATAATCAGTCATTACTATTAATTGTGTTAGCCAATAAATATTGTAAACCTTGAAAAAAAATACATAATCTATTCAATGAATGAACTTTTCGTTGTTGAATATTCGTTCTACTCATTTATTTGAAACTCATTATAAAAAAAGTCTCAAATTACATTGCTCTCTATGCTGTTGAAATCAATATGACATGCAAATGATGCATTCTTATGTCCATAGTAAGATGCCACTAAATAGCATCATCAATCGTTTTTTTTTCTATTCTTCTTGATTGTAAAATGGAGAATATCGATAATGAACAACAACAACAACAACAACATCAGATAGAAGCTACTGAATATTCTGATGTAGAATCATCACCGGATGAAACGATCAATACTAAACAATTACCACCAACAACAATATCCTTAATTCAATCTCTTCAACTCGAAGAAAATGAAGAGGCAAATAAGAAGAAAAAGAAGAAGAAAAAGAAAGTCAAAACTCTTCGTCAAAAAGAACTTGTAAAGATCTTCATAATAAGAAAAATATTATTATTATTATTCATATTTTCTAATATAGGAACATTTAACAAAAGTAACAAAAGCTATATTTGCTTCTCCTGAACAATTAAATACTGTATGTGAACGTATTAATTCATTATTATTAGGTCACAAAACAAGATTACTTGCTGTTTGTCATTCATTAGATAAACTACATTCCGGTCGTTTACCATATGAACAATTTCGACTTAGTAATTAAAAAAATCATTTCGTTATGTGATTATTTATATTGAAATGAAATTTTATTTGTTTTTTTTTATTCTTAGTCATCAAAGATCGATTGCCTGAAATGTCTATAGAAGATTTTTTTGTTCTTATAAAATTATTCGAAATTGAAGGTTTAATTGATTATCGAACAATATTAGATGAAAAACTTGGTAATGGTATTTTACAACATATAACAAAATTATCTGTACCAAAACCAAAAGAAATTGTTCTTGAAAAATCTCCAAAGAAATTTCAACAAAAATTTAATGAATCTTTACAATTAAATCATATTAGGTAATATCAATATGATTTAAAATAAAATATATTGTCTCGTATATATATATATATAGATATGTTACTATTCATCTTCGTTTTATCACATTCGATTCCTACCATGGATATCCAGGTCATATACATATTACTGTACCAGATTATATAAGCATCTATGCTCTATCTAAAATGATTATTGATAAAACAGATTTAGCTACACGATCTGTCAGGATATTTCGTGAAAATACTCGTTCACGTAATACTCCTCTAGATCCGATGCATTCACTTGAAAATTATTCCTATATAGGTGCATATGTTGATGGTACACATAATCAATCATTTCCTACTTATACACTCTATTATGATTATTTACCAACGAACGTACAAGTTGATTGTCCAATACTTAAATGTGATTATTATATGAAATGAATATTATTCAATGCTTTTGTTTGTTAGTGTGTCCATCTTTTGATAACATTTGTCTAATATAAATTATATATAAATAAATGTAAAATTTTTCTTTCAAATACATTTAAATCTATCAATTGTTCATTATCAATATGAATATCAGATCTAAATTTTTTTTTATTCAATAACTAAAGGTAGAATACAAAATATTTCTATTATATTTATTTTCAATTATCAAAAAAAAATGCCTATAATCCTATAATAACACTATGTATACAGGCACAAATCGTTTTTGCTCGATATAGGTGTGAATGATCATGGACTAGATTATGTTTGGATATTATACATATGAGAATTTTCGTGTATACACGCGTTATATTATCATATGTAAGAATATATCAATGTGTTTGTAAAGAACTCCTGTGTGTGCATTGAAGACAGCGCTTGGATGTCGCAAAAAAATGAAGTGCATTAAAGTAATTATATGTGAACATCTAAGTCTTTTCTTGATATAAGATTCAAACATACATAATTCGGTTTTGAACATAATCTTTTTTCACTATTCAAACACCTACTGATATCACAAGTCCCATTAAAACAGGAGGAATTAATGATCATCGAATATTTTTAAGATCATAGATATAAAACCTATCAGATAATTAAAAAAAAGGACAAATTTTTGATGAACTGATATAATACAATTATTGAAGAACAAATTGATCTTTAATAAAATATGAACAATCATAGAAAGAACAAAATTCTTGCATGTACTATCATGCACATTACAACATAGTAAAACCTTGCATTTTGACACAGAATCGCTTTAGTAATAGTTTTTATAAATACAACCCTTTTGCATGGTTCATGTAGAATTCTACGAAATTCTGTTCATCTTGAAAATACACTAGAATGAACACTTTGACGTTCATATATACATAAATGTTATACATGTGAATATACTCATAGATTAGAGTCTCGCACGTTTTACTTTAAAATTTAATAAATTTGTTTTTTTTTTCATGCATGTGTTTGAGACATGTATATCTCCGGATGTAGTTTGATCGTGCATTTAAAATGTAGGCATTGTAAAGATAGTAAATAAATTGAATATTTGTGAATAATATACAAAAGACTTAAAGAATATATTTTACAATTTAATGAAAATTTCTTATAAATATATGTATTTTTTAAGCTTTTACATTTGATTGAACAATAGTTGAATGTTTTGACCTTAATTGAAACCCATTTAAAGATTATTTGTTCTACTTAAATGACATCTAAACATAAAGAAATAAAAGTTATGTTTGTCTGTTTGTTTTTTTGTCTGTTCTGTAAAACAGTTGCTTCGCTATTCAATGTTTGATTGAATTAGACGACAATTAAATTTATATTTCTTAGAAGATAAAGACAAATTGAAAATTAATCCATCATTAATTGCTATTTTTATTATTGATTTCAAGGAAAAAAAAAGTCAGGCAAAGAGCTAAAACTAGATTATAGTCATGAGGACAAATTTAATATCATATTGGAACGCCAAAACTCGATTCTTTTCTCTGGAGATTTCGTTTTTCTTTTTTTTTGGTTTTTCATCATTTAAAAAGAGATGATCATTTGAATGAAATGTTCATTCAACGGATCTCATTTTTATTGAGAAATATAAAAAAAAATAAAAATATTCTTGCCTTTTGAAAATTTACAGGTGTTTTTTTTTTTTCACCATCTAGACATAATGCTAAATTTGTTTTCAAGAATGAACTATGTTGCCTCTAGTAAAAATGAATAATAAATGACCTTCATATCTGTTCACTAATGAATCCATATAAGTGTTTTGAATGAAGATCTTATCATTTTGTTTTTCATCATCTGATTTTTCCGTACATGTATATTTGTTGGTTATAATAATAATATGCATCGCTGATGTTCCGTATTGATGATGACAATGATTAGTCAAACGATGAACGACATACGAATGAAATTGATTTGGTTGACATTCATCTCGGCTCTTCTTTCATTCTTCTTTTTTTTCTCATCAGGCCTCTTATCGATGTGCTCATCCTTTTCCGTCCTTCTTATATACTACTATCCTGAAGTTTATTCGATTGTATAGTGCACTCATTTTCCGCCCATCTATCATCTGCCTACATGCTCAAGACGACATTCGTTACAGTCAATAACAGTGCAGCTAAAGGCGAAGAAGAAAAAGGTGATGGTGATCAGCATCATAACGCAAAGAGAGAAGAAGAGAGAGAGAGAGAGAGAGAGAGAGAGAGAGAGAGAGAGAGAGAGAAACAAGCAAATAGATAGATATAGAGAAAGAAAATAAAAAGAAGTGCTGTCATTGGATTTTCTCTCTATACGAAAAGAAAATTTTTTTCTCTATATGGAATGCTCTGGTACTATTTAAACGATTTCGAATGCGTCGAATGTTTGCAGAACAGTTGACTCTTCAATACTACTTATTAATGGGAACTTATTAATAAAGAAGACAAGAAGAAAAGAAAACATTGAAGATTAAAGTAAAATTCATAAAAAAAAAAAAAAACTGTTTACAAAAATGTCTCGTTCTAATCGATCGAATAGTACAAGACCTTTTTGTAAGTATATACATTCAATTATTTATTTTTTTATTTTATTTCTTATGAACATATGATTAAAACTTATTATGACAAGTTCCTTTAATTAGTTCTTGTTCATGCACATAATATTTTTGTCAAATTTCTTTCTGACATCCATCTATTTTCATTATATTACACTGTATAATAATAACTAAAAAAATGATCTACGCCAACTCGATTAGCTGATTGATGTCTTTTCATTCTTTCTATTATTCTTTTCTTTTATCTTGTTATTCTTCGCTGTTGTTCAAGTGTAACGTCGTTATACATAACGAAACTTACATTAGCATGAATTTTGAAAGAAGTATATTCAAAAGATTTATTCTATTGTTTTTTTTTTTTTTTTCCGTATAAAATCAGTAGAGCGTGTTATATATATTCAATTATGATCTAAGTATCAACATTTACTGTTTGCTTATATTGATGAGTTGTTCATGTGTAATAAAATGATTTCGATTATGGTAAAAACGAGGATTGAAAAACTATAAATTTTCATAATAAATACTTACGTTTTTAAGTTATTGAAGAATTCTATTCTTGTACTGTGATGAATGTAATCATATAGATGGAAATGTCATTAACATTTATTTCTTTCTCTCTGACTCATCTCTTTTCGAGATCCCAACATGTTGACTAATTAGATAAAAGTCTTTTTTTTTTTCTTATATAAAACACGCACACCAGGATAATTATTCATGTCATGCTGTTAGATTACTAATGTGGCATCTATTCATATTGTCTGCATTTATAACAGAAATCCATGAAGAATTTCATCTTAATGTCTTTTTTTTTT